AAAAAAAAAAAAAAAAAAAAAAAAAACACTTTTCCAAAAATTGATTCATTTTATCTGGTGCCATGAACCCGGGTTTGGAGAGTCGGCCGTTCAACTTCTTCTCTTCCATGAGCTCAAGCAGCTTAGCCAGAGAGCTTCGTTGCTCCGGCAGTGTGAGCGCTCGACTACTGAGGAGAGAAAACACACATAAAAAAAAATAAAATTATATTTTCCGGTTCCCAAAAGTTGCCCCTTTTGAGGCTGTTGTGGTCAGGGTAGAAATCCCACAGTCACAACATTTTAAATTGGAATATTTCAGAAAACTAAGAGGCTATCAAATTATTCTCAAAGTAACAATGCATTAAGCAGATGGGAGCCGAACGTAAAGTTTTAAATTCTAAACGCTAATGATGTGTGGCTAATAAGGAGAAGAATGAGTCTGGCTAACAAAGTCTTGCATCAAAAGAACGCATATTTTTAATACCAACTGTGCATTTCCTTCTTTAGCTACTTCTTTGCCTTTAAAAGAAAAAATAAAGGGGATATTCAAATTAACCCAAAATCTAATAACTGGTTGTGAAACTTTTATTAGCCAAAAACATCCATCAAGCATTTTAAATAAATGGAAATAAGTCTTTTTGGGCCACTCATCCTTGCAGAGTCGTTTTGATCAACCCTTTGCCGTAGGAACTTAGTTGAAGTCTAGATCTTAATTGATGTCCAGACTGACTAGACCACACCAAAACCTTATGAGTTTGTTCTTGTTTTAGCTTTTCACGGGTTTTGAAAACCTCGTTGTCTCGTTTCTGTTTTCCTCCAGAGGAGATTTTTAAGTACCTCAGTGGTTTATATGGTAGAGTGGAGCGGGAGAACAGGAGCGTTAAGAAAGACCTACATCTAATGGTGATTTCACACCTGATGATCCGTTAGGCTTATCGGTTTGATCAGAGTCCAAAATTGTAATGTTTGTGTCAAGCAACCCAAACTCTTTGAAAAACCTGTTCCCTTCCTCACCTGTGGTGGCGCTGCATCGAGATCTACTGAAGGACACAAGATGAAAACCTCTGAAGAAGACACTGAGCGCAACTTCCTTCCTCACGAAATGTGAAAAAAATTGGGTGGCATCAGATTTTAGTGGTTGTACGTTTTTTTTTTTTTTTTTTTTCTTTGGTAAACCCCTAGACACACCCGTTTTTTTTGGTTACCCAGAATGCTCTGCGCTTTAGTCCGCTTCATGTTCATGGAGCGGACTCCAGTTCACTTGTTGTTCATACACATTCAAATCGCGCCAGAGTACATTTCAGCCGAACCAAAACCTGGGTATTTAGACAAACCAGACTTCACTTCTTTGATGCACATCAGCTTGATTACGCATTCACAATCAAGCTTATGTTTTCTTTTTTCAAAAAGAGGGTGAATACTTTTGTACAGCACTGTCGTATCTGTAGTAAATGATGCGATCACTGTAATTATTCTGTTATTTTGTGATCCCATCAGATGTTTTCTTATCCATATTCTATTTCCAGATAAAGTCTTTGCATCAGTGCTGTGAACAAAACAAATACCAACCCCTTTCAAAGCAGTACAAGTTAAAAAAGAAAGAAGAACATGATAAGCATCTGAAAAATAGTCTGTTTAAGGGGAAATATTGAATGACTTTGCTTTGACCCTGTCCTTTCGGGTTCCCATGTGAAATCTAAGGCAGACATCTTTCATGCGGATTTGGGGAAGCAGCGATCCGGGGAACGTACAGCTGAGAAGGGACGGAGCGAGCGAGATCAGCTTCGCCTCAATCCGAGTGGAAAGGTGAAATGAGAGAAAGCAAAGAAAGCGTCCTAGAGAGACGGAGGAGATTGGTTTCACCTGCACTACGGTGTTTAGATAAACTCCAGCAGCGGGGAGCTGAGGCATCAGCAGAAATGAAACAGGATGCAAGTCCAACTCAGCAACTTCAAAGAAAACTCAGAAGAGTTCGAGGAACTCTTGAGTCTCTGAATTACTGCGGCAATGCACATTGCATGAGTTAGGAAGAGCGGTGCTATTTTACGGGCACTTCTTGGCTCTCAGCACATCCTGACACATTATGCCGTCCTCTGGAGGACAGGATGGGTCTTCTGCGAAGGAAGTGGGAGGAGAACGAAAACAGCGGAGGGCATCGGGAGCCGTTCTTCCGAGCTCTGCTGTCCAGATTCAGATCTTTGAGTCAGCAGGAAAGCATCAGTTTGCCTTTTTCTGTTAACTTTCTTTGATCACAAGTTTCTGAACACGATTGCCTCGAGCTTTAAGAAGCAATATTAGGAACTAAATGCAGACGATAACATCCTCACAGTAAAACTGATACTGTGGGGTTTTTTTGGGGGGGGGGGGATCTTATGTCAAAGAATCAAAGATCAATGTGTTGGCATTCAAGCTCATTTTTAAAAAGCTCAACAGAGGATTTAGTTGATTGTGTACGCAAATAAGATGCTTAAGAATCAAAGTATTAAGCAATTCAAAGAAGCCACAATGCCTACAGACAATCTTTAACGTTCATAAGAAACATTTCAAACCCCCCACTCCTGCATAGCCGTGTGCGTTGTAAAAAGCTCACATGCTCTTTTTCGTGACGACGAAGAAGATGACAGGAAGTGGTAGGAGGATGATGGCACAGCTTATTTTTTTTATCGCGTGAACAAACATAATAACTTCTGATTTTGATTACTTTTCTTATTTAATGGAAACAGCAATTACAGATTAGTTTTTTTTTTTTTTCGACATTAGCAGAATATCAATGTTTTGCTCACATTTGTAATGGAAACTTGGTGACCGTCGAGCAAAAGATAGCAATATATCCAGCTTTACATTTTGGTGATGGGAAACAGAATGTCCATCCCTTCATGCTGATGATGAAAAAAAAAATCTTAACACATAATAATCTAAGACAATGAATCAGAAACTAAATATATCCCATGTTGCTCCTGAGGTTGCCGTTGCTCAACAGTGGAGTGGTTTTCTTCCATTTTTTTTTTTTTTCTAAGATCAGGTATTCAACATGTCAAAATGCCCTTGAGCAAGAAACGTGTGTGTCTGCACACGCAACAAAAAAAAAAAAAAAACATGGAAAAATGAATGACAGCCAGATACGGCATTGCTGCTCAGACACACCGAGGCAAATGGCTCGGCTCGTCCTACGTCAGAGCGTGACTCATAAAATTGCCATTGTGTGGAGATGCGAGTCCCTGAAGCACCTGTGGCTCACGGACTCCGTGTGTTGGAGGGGAAAAAAGAAAAAAAGAGAGAGAGAGGAGCCATGCCTTGAATCTGGGATAACTACTGTTTTTGTACTAAGTCAGGCACAGGCATGGCTTTAAAGGAGCAGCAAAAGTCAAAGAGAGGGAAAACCACGACAGAAAAAGGAAAACCCCATACAAGCAGCAGGGATTACAGCATCTTGATGTATAGCCGTGTTTGCACTCGCCACATATGTCGAAGCATTATCACCAGTTTGTACGATTAGGGGCTCTTCATTGTTCAGATGTTTATGTGACTTTTAGTGTGCCGAAAGCAGAGGCGTGAATCGCTGCTGCAACTTTGTACTGTGTGTCGGTTAAAAACACTCATGCAATTTCGCTTGATTTTTAAAATTCTCCTTTTAAACACATTGTTTGTGGGTGATTTCCGTTCAGACTTTTGCTTCGTCCCAATCCAGTTTCTCCCTCAACTCCCAAAGCAGGTTGGAGCAGTTCTCCTGTTTACCTTTATTTCTTGTCTCCGCCCATCTCACCGCCACTTCCTGATCACCTGGGCCGGTGAAGAGATGAGCAGGTTTTGAAGGAGCTCTGCTCCACACGCCGCGGGAGTTTGGCGTTGGAAGATTTTCCCGAAAGTCAGGGAATGAGATAAAAACTTCTTTTGCCCGAAGGCCGTTCAGCCAGTCACCAAAGGCTCTAAGATCGGGACAAAGTCCTGTTTTGTGAGTCATTTACCTCTCGCTGTTCTCCACCTCCCTTCACTGAAAGGGTTTAATGTTACACCCGCTGCCAGACTCTTACCTGTGCAGGTGAGCGACGGTGCCGAAAGCGAACTTCCAAAATGAGGTTATGTGAGTACGCTTTCACGTTTTTCCAATTCCTCTTAAAGATTAGTGGGTTAAACATGACTTTTAATAGTCAGAGCACTTTGTTGTACAAAGCATGACAGTGATCTTTTTTTTTATTTGCATGAAAGTCATTTGCCTGTATGTTCGCACTTTCTGTTTATAAGTGAGCAGAACATGGCAGGTGTTTGTATTTTGTTTGTTTCATTCAGATGTTTCTTCACCAGGCTTCACATCTGGCTGCAGCTGTGACTCACACCGACTCTAGAGAAGTCAGTCAGTCAGTATCAGTCAGGCCTTAAACACACACAGAGCTTTACGGAGAGATTACAGTAACGTTCCTGTACTGTCGCTTTACATCCCATGTGGCCACACCGGAACAAAAGGCGCTGCATTTTATAACATAGAAAGATTATTTCTCCTTTTCTTATGTGAATTTTATTTAATGAGACACATTATTATTTATAAATGACAGCACAAAAGCGATTTCCATTATCTGGCTTTTTTCCCCTATTATTATTATTATTACATTGACAAAATACGCACAAACTGCATGTAGAGCATCTTGACAGTTGGGCGGGTGGGGGGGAGGGGGCTGATTTACTTTCTAGCTGGTGAAGCTAAATGTTTGGGTAATGTTTCAGCAGTGTAAGCAGTTAAACAGAAACGCTGTCATCTTTGTTCTGTCCTTGTTTTGTTGTGCGTGGTTACAAAGCAGATGTTTTCCAGAGAAAAGAAAGAAGAAAAAAAAAATGGTGGAAGACTTACTGGAATTTTTCTGTTTTTGGGGCATGTCTGAACACAACAGACTAACTATGTTGCGGTCTGCATGTGCTGCATCTGGCATGTACTTGTTTTAACTCCTGGCTTCGTTCTCTGGGTCCATGATTATGAGTCCAAAGTCTGATTAGAGATTGCTATTTTTGTGTCTTTTGTGTTTGTTTTTCTTTTTTTTTATGACCTAATGACTGATCTATTTATGAAACGGTTCTCGCTGCTGCTCCCTGAATCCAGTCACCTTTTATCGGTGGCGTGACTCACAGAGCGACCGCCTTGTGTTGACAAGGGAACTCCACTAAAAGTTAAAAGAAAAGCGAAGTGACATTAACACCCCGGTCAACTGTGTCGGTTCGCCTGTCCTCTTCGGGGTGTGTTTGATCAGCAGATACGATTCCACGTCTTGTCCTGAACCCGAGGAGTGGATGTGTACATAGCAACACGCCAGCTAAGTGTGAACACTCCGAATGCTGATGCAGACACAGATGCCTCGCCACCGGCTTGTTTTCCACACTCATCAACGGTCGTTACAAAAAAAAAAAGCTGACCTCGCACTGTCTTGTGTCATTATTAAGTCGGATCACAGGGGAGAAATCAGAGACCGATCCGGCAGCGGTATTTACATAAAATATACTCCAGGCGAAGATTGGGCCATGGTTTATGTTGACGGACAGCATCTTGAGTCAAGGATTGGCATGACTGCTTCAAAGATAAAAGAGAAAGGGTAGTATTGACAATGTAGACATTTCTTTCCCTCTTTTTTTCAGCTAAGGACAAAAGAGAAACATGGACACAATGAGATTTATGGATCATGAAAACCCGCCTTTCTTCTGGCTGTTTGAGCACTTGAGAGCGAGTAGTATAATAAATAAAACGTCATTTGATTTGTTGTGGTGGCGCAGGGTCAAAGCACGACCCACGTGTTGAGGCCTTAGTCTTCAAGCTGGTGGTTGCAGGTTCGATTCCCGGCCTGGCGACCTGTGCAGCATGTCTCCCCCCTCTCTCATTTCCCTCTTTCTTGTCGAACTACTTTCAAACACTAGAGCCAACAGAACAAATCAATTGCTACAAATCAAGTTTAGGGTGGATTCACACCGTCTTTGTATAGTTTACATTATTAAAACTTCAGTCCGTTTGCCTAGACAGTCCAGATCGTTTGAGAAGACGATCAAAAAAGCAAACTGATCCACCTAAAAACCTACAGGTCTCGGTTTGGTTGAAGTGAACTCGAACGCATATGTGAATGAATGCAAGCGGACCAAAGACCGCTCCAAAAGCAGGAAGCAACGATACCACAGGGCATTCTGGATAAATACGACCAAAACAAACTAATGCTTGCTGGAGAAATGACTCGTGGTCGTTTAACAAAGACAAAAGAGAAATCCTGCAACCACCAAAATCTGACGCTGCTCCATTTTTGTTTACATTTTGCAACGATGGAAGTTGCGCTTCTCCAGAGATTTTCCTGTCGTTTCCTTCAGTGGTTGTCAGTACAGCGCCACCACAGGTGCGGAGGGAGAACAGGTTTTCCAAAAGGTGACGCAGGGCAGTGTGGAAGTAAACCACAGCAGCCGGAAATGTAAAAAATGTTGTTACTTTGTTCCCCAATCAAACCCAGTCTACCAGACTACCAACTGTGGAAAACATCCATAGCCCATCAGAGCTCTCCCATTGTCCTCAGCGACAGCACTGGCTCAAACATCCCTACCGTCAAAGCGTCAAAAGAAAGCCGATACTCCTCCGGCACGGGTGTGTCGCCTGAATTCATCCATGAAAAGTGGGTGTATGTAGAGGCAAACGTGTGCGTGTGTGCCATCAGATTCATATGTTTGTGGTCTCGGGAGCATCTGCGCATGATCTTTTCTTCCAGTAAGGCTGTTTACATCAGGGTTGTTTCAGAACTGCAGCACACATCATCATTTTCCACTAAACCAACCCGGCGGCACACAGTCAGCGCCGAACGAACCTAAGGATGGAGTCCAGTAATCACTGTCAACATGTCAGTGCGTGTCAGTCGATACAATGCGGTTGACATAAAGGCAATGTGCATTTTTGTTAAAGATATAAAGGATATTTCAAAAGATAAAAAAAAAAGCTTTCCCCTTTGAACCATCTTCTCCAATTTGAGGTCACTTGAATGACCAAATTGACTAAAATGCAGTTTTTGGATTCAATCTTAAAGCATCAGTTTTGAAACTTTTGTAAGATCTCTAAGTCGTGACTCATTCGGCTCTTCTTCTGCTTCCCTTTCCTCCTGTGGAAATGGTTTATCGTAGCTCATCAGTCCGGCGCGGTGGCTCAGCTAATATTTCTGAAGAAACAACTTGTTATACAGCATATGGGTTGCATTCAGTCCTGTCCTGACCAGTGTGCAGATATTTTTTTTTTTTGCGCTGCCCTGATTTCCCCAGTGCCGCCTTGAGTTTTAAAAGACCCTGAGCGGATGTTTTATGTGGAGCCCCAATTCCAGTTCACATTATTTATTGAATAAATGGCTGTAAAGGAGAAGTGGAAGCACATTATTACCCTGACTCACTCATTTGGTGTGGCTGTCATGTCTGGAGGAAGGGTTAGCAGCAAGTCATTTAGCAGTTGAATAGTTTGTACTTGTAATGCTGATGGAATCTGCCTCTGGCCCAGTGACGAGCAGCAGAACTGATTCAAACCAAATTATACGGATTTATGACTGGTAACGTAATTATTAAAGTTGGGAGTGTTTTTCATTACATGACTGCTACTGAAAATGAGTAATTTTATTGAGTTAATGTAATTAATACACCATCTAATCATCAGCATCATTTACATGTTTTTCCCAATAATAAACAACCTATGGACTTATGCTGGCCCGTGCCCCGGTGGTTAAGAACCATATGAGTTATGATTTTTTATTTTATTTTATTTTTTTAGGATGTGTTGGTAATATTAGCCACAAAGTAGTAATACCCAGCCTCCAGTCCACTGCTTTCCACCTAAGTTGGGGTAAAATCATCCCAGAATCAGAAACTGGATTTAGTATTCTGGATGAGCTGTAAACAAAACAGCTTCGGTTTTTGATCATGCCAAGAGTTATTTATTTTTTAAATTATGGATTTGCCCCACTCGCATTTCCCGCTGTTAGAATGAATCGTCCGGGAGAAGTGGATGTGTTATCAGCAGATCCGAGACAACACCACACCAAAGAGCTGCCGCATTCCCTCATTAAACGAGTTTACTTGTGAAAAACTCTTTTATAGGAGATTAGGCTCCGAGAACGGATCATTTTTTCATGTCTGTGAATCTTTTTTCTTCCTTTCTTCCTTTCTGTCTTGTCATTCTAACTAGCGTTTCCTCTTCGGTCTCGGGCTTGTTCTGTGATGAAAGCGCTTTGCTCCGTAGATCAGGCCGCACTCAGCAGGCGCCACGGCTTGTGATGAATCCACCCTGTCGTCACGCGTTTGGAGAGGGGAAGTTCTACTTTGTTCGACAGTTCACCCTCTCCTCGTTAGCGTTAGATACGCCGCAGACGGGAATTCTTACCTCGCAGTCTGTGGGATTCAAACTGATAATGTCAAAAGGAAAGACTGTGTTTGCTATCAAACACCCACTTACGATGCAGCACCATGGAGTGTTGCAGACTGAAGCCGGTGTTTGTTGTGCCTTGTAATAGCTTTCTAGCTGGGGCTGTAAGAGCAGCGGAATATGTTCAACCCAAACAGAAGCAGCGGCCTCAGATTACAGTGCTGTGGAAAAATATTTGAGCTCTTGTAGATTTTTTTTTGAGTGTGTGTGTGTGTGTGTGTGTGTGTGTGTGTGTGTGTTTTTTGCTTTTTTTTTTTCTCTTCCTAACCTTAAATGTTTCTGATCATTAACCTAATTTTAATATAAGACAAATCGTCAAAACAAATAAAACATCTAAATTTAATTTTTTTTTTTATTATTATTTGTTTATTGGGGAAACCACTTAAGTAGAGACCGTGTGACAACTTGAAGTAAGCTAGAAGATTTCAAAAACCCGATCAAAAGAACAAAACCGATGAGAAATTAAGTCATCAGCTGCATTCCCATTGACCATATCACTGCGCAAATCGGAATTATGAAAATAAATTTGCTTAACCCCAATTTCAGGAAAAAAAACAAACAATTTTTCGATTAACAGTTTGGATGAGGTTCTTTTTCGGCAATTAGTTTATTTCGCAAAACTAATGAGTCACGTGACCGACAACCGGATGTCACTGCTGGCGAAAAAGACGAAGAAGACGACAGGAAGTGACTTATCACGTGAACAAACTTATTGATTCTAATCGCTCTTCTCATTTAATGGAAACAACGTAAACGGGAAATTATGTTTTTTCGACATTAGTGGAAAATTCCCAAAAGTTTTACGCACATGTGTTATGTAGACACAGCTGGTGATTTCTATCAGCTTGGAATTTTTTATAAAGCTGTTACGGAAACACACAGAGAGCCATTATCTGAAAAAGGAGAAAATATAAAACAGTGAAGATTCTCCAGAGTGACCAGCCATGTGTCAACCTCACATCCAAGAGGTTACCAAAAATAAAACTTCCTTGTTTAATAATTCTGGGAAAAAAGCGAATCTCAGTTTTCACCAAGGGTAACAGTCATAATCTTTCTATTTACGCTTATATCTCTTTTCTTCTTTCCTTTTAAAAATGGATTCATTTGGAAACCGCCTTTTGCACACACTCGGTTTCTCTTTGTCGTTTGAATTAGACGGGGCAAATACTTTTTCAAAGCTGCTGTACATTTCTATTTTGACTTCACCCTTTGCTGTTGGCGGCGTTTTGAACGAGAGCCAGCGTGTCGTCACGCAGCAGCGCAGAGCCGGCTACAGCTCCAGAAACAAAGCGAGCGGAGCGCCAACGCGGTCGCTCCTGCCAAAGTGGCGTGTGCCTGACTAGGCCCATCTGTCGGTGTCCATGTGCTCGAAGGAGCCCACCTGCTCCGGGTATGACGTGCGCGCCGGCTGGCCAGCCCGGCGCATCGACCAAAACATAAACTCGTGCACCAGAAAACAATAACTCGGCACGATTGAGACCGCGTCGCACCCGGCTGTGGATTAGCAGAGATGAGCGACTGTCGTGGAGCAGAGAGCCACAGGCTCGTCTGCGTCCGTCTGTTTCTGTCGCTGCTGCTGAGACGAGTGGTATTGATGTTCCCACATCCAGAGGAGAAATCGCAGTCGTTCAATATCCGTTATCTGGGCCGCCTCTGTAAATCCAAGAAATGATAAAAAATAATAATAATAAAAAAAAATGAGTCTGCTGCAGTTCTTTGCATATGTGAACAGAAAGAAGTCCCGCTGTGTCTGCAGTCGTCCTACATTAAAATTTATGAATTGTTGAACACATCTCGCTTTTTTTCAAGGGTGGAAACAAATGATTTGTAGCAAAGAAATAAGTCCTTTGTGGCTCTATGTACTTTTAACTCACTTGCACTGTTCAAAATTTTGGAAATAACCCAGTTTATCTTTCTTCAACTGATACCAACTTCAGTTTAAATTTTAATATAAGACATAAAAACAATTTGAATACTTTTTTTAGCCCTGCTGAAATCATGTCTTTGATGTTTTTAATGTTTTTATCTTTACTTTTTATCTATTTATTAATTTCTTTTAAATGGCGTTTTAACTAAAACTCTGAGGTGTGAGAATCCTTGTCAAATGGCGTTTTGACTAAAAATCTGTGAATTCCGTCCTGTCAGGCGACGGGGCCTGGATAATACCCGTGTTAAACGGACGGCGGAGTCCGGCGACGACAGGCGCTTAAATACCGTAACAAAAGTATGTTTTATTCAAAATCTCTCTCTTTCTTACTGTTTATTCAATGTCACATGCTGTTCTTATTTTTTTTTTTCTTTAATTATGTAAAGCACCTTGAAATGCCTTGCTGCTGGAATGTGCCATACAAATAAAATTTGATTGATTGATCGTAGACCATCAATTATTTAAGTGAAATATGATTGTGAAGTAATGATTCAAAGTGACAGCTCAAAAAACGTTAATATTGTGAAACAAAAACAAAATTATTAGAGTTGAAATTTTAAACCGACTTCAGCGTCTTTTCTTGCCGATTAATCTTTTGGTAATGAGGTGGGGTAAATGTTTTCGATGTTTTGGAGATAGAGCCAGGAGAGACTCGACTGAGACGGTTTGGACATGTTCAGAGGAGAGACGATGATTACATCAGTAGAAGGACGCTGAGGTTGGAGTCATCGGGCAGAAGGCCAGGAGGAAGACACAAAAGGAGGAGGGCATGGAGAAAGTTGGCGTGAGGGTAGAGCATGCAGACTGTAGGAATAAAAGGTGAAAAGGTCAATTGACGTGACGACCCACGAAGTGAAAAGCCAGAAGAGAAGAAGAAGAAAAAAGCTTATTTAACTGATCAAAAGATCCTCAGTGCATCTCTAATTTTTTACTGCTGAAGTCGAAATGTCTCTTATTGCTTCTGATGAATATATGGATTACTTTTTTAATGAGGCAGTTTTTAAATAATGTACAATGTGGTTTTTTTCTTCTTCTTCTGTTTCTGTGCTCAGTTTCCTTAAGCTCTTGGTCAGATCACTAATCACAGATCACTTTTACCAAAGACAAAAGAGAAATCCTACAAAAAAAGCTGACTCTGCGTCATTTCTGTTTACACTTTACACAGAAGGAAGTTGCACTCATGTCTTCTTCTGAGATTCTCATGTCATTTCCTTCAGTGGTGTTCGCTGCAACGCCACCGCAGGCGAGGAGGTGAACAGGTTTTTAAATTAGTTTGGAATCGCTTGGCAGTGTAGCGTGAACAAGAACCGCACCAGCTGAAAATGTAACAAATGTTGCGATTTTGGTCCCCAATCCAAACGCATATCAAACTATTGCAACTCTCTCCACTTCCAGGGCTAACACAACAGTAATCTCATTACCAAGTGCTTCTACATTGTTGTACTTACGTTGCTTTCCTCTTCCTCGCAGATCTCTTCTGCTGACACTCTGTTCGACTCGTCCAGCTTAACATCCCAAGTTCCAGCTTTTCAGATGAGACTCTAGCCTGACGTCGCCGCAGCGATGGCGGAGGCCTCCCCTTTGGACATGTCCCCAACAGACTCGGGTGTGTTTTCCCCGACCCTTGAGCTGTGTGCCTCCTGCGGCCACAGCCACAAGCTGGAGGAGAACCACGAGTACATCTACCAGGACGACGTGGATGACGACCTCATCTGCCACATCTGCCTGTCGCCACTCATCATGCCGCTGGACACGCCCTGCGGCCACACCTACTGCAAGGAGTGCCTCACCAACTTCCTACTGGAGAGTGACTTCTGTCCCGTGTGCCGCACGCCCCTCATGCTGCAGAGCTGCAGGAAGCCGAGCCTGCTGGTGCATAAGCTGCTGGATAAGCTGACCGTGGCATGCCCTTTTGCTGAGTTTTGCACAGAGACCCTGCCTCGCGGCGAGATGGAAGATCACATCAAGGGCAGGTAGGCTCCAAAAGAAACCCCCCAAAAAACGTGATCAGATACTTTAACCCTTTTCGGTTCTTTAAATCCACTAACTATCAATTGAAAGTGGCTTGAAACATACCTGGAGAGTGCTGGAGTATGTGATCCTTTCATGTATGTTTGAGAAATCCTTTTTTTTGCTGTGGAAAATGCCTCGTTGGACCTCATCAGAGCTGCACTTTCCACGTTTTTTGAGCTTTCGCCTCACAGAGCAGCCTTCCTTCACTCGGCTCCTGCAGACTAGCCAGCAGCAATTAGCAAACGGCTCTGCAAACCACATCTGCTGAGCTCATTATACGAGCTACTTCTGAGTGAAACGCTGGTGAATACGTTGTCAAAGGATCAACAGAGGAGTCGTGTTGTGATGACTTCGTGAAGGCGGAGTTTCAAAAAGAGCAGGAGCTTCTTAGAGAGACAGATGCCCAATTTCAAGGCGTTAAACTTGGAAGTAAAATGTATTTCAAGTCATATGTGATATATATGCCAACTGAAGGTGCCATAGTTACTTGATTGTGCTATAAAATGGCACCATGTCCCTGGAAAACACATAATACTGGCCCTTTAACAGAATACAAAGTTGAAAAGAAATGAAACATGCTGTTGAAACATTCTTACAATTTAACTCTGCAGAGTGTGTGTGTGTGTGAGTGTGTGTGTGTGTTTTTATTCTGGCCTCTGGAGTCACTGCTCTGTGGAATCACCTCTCGCTGCAGTTAGAGCTGCAAGCCTTCATGGGTCTGTCTCTCTCAATATTCTTCAACACAACAGGACACACGCTCAGAGTGGCTGGAGGACATCTGAGAACATCGATTTCCAAGCCCATTTTCCACAAACTCAACTGCATTTAGCTCTAGACTTTGACTAGACCATATTATTACATGGATATTCACTCTTAGCTGTTGCTCTATGGCTCTGATTAGGATTGTTGCCGTCCAAAGTGAACCCAAGAAAGAATCTCAAGTCTGTTCCATGTTTTGCTCTTGCACTATGTCTATGCTCCATTAACTCTTACCAGCTTTCCTGTCCCTTGCTAAAGAACACCATCCCCTCAGCATGAGTCTGCCACCGTCTTACTTTAAAGTGGAGAAGTTAGGGAAATACTGTTAAGAATCGGCTCTGTCTTTAAAACCAAAGACATGCAGTTAGTTTGGTACATTTTGATATCGCAACTAAGAGATGGGCTGAGTACTTTATTTTTCCAAATAAAATGTAATTCATTCTGGGGTGCAAATATGTTTAAAATGGCCGCTGTGAAACAGTGCATGTACCGGCGCCATCAAATGACTTTTCCCATTTCCTGCATGCCCACCTTTCATTCCTCTCCATTTTCAGTTTTTTTTTCCCATCTGCACTCGTCTGTCAAAAATCGCAATAACTTGCAATAGCCATTGACCGTAGGATACCCCTTCCACGTTCACTTCGTCCATCATCTTTAAGCACCGGCTACCGTCCCCAGAGGACAGAGTTTCCCCTCCAACCGGGCTTTCATCAAACCAAAACTCCCAGCTTGTCTGCTCACGTATTAAGATGCAGCACGGCAGTTTCTCTCCGCTCGCGTTAATCCTCATTAAGACTCCCCCTGGCCCAAGTGCTGCTGGGATAATTAACGCATCTCACCAAGTATCACAGACAGGAAGTTGCATCCAAAAACGTGGAAGCTCAAGTTTGTTTAAAAATCCTTAAAAAGAAATCACCAAATCTTCCTTCACCGTTGTGTTTCTACTCCTACACCATCTTTTCCGCTCAATCTTTCCTTCTGTCAGTTTCTTTTCTTTTTCTCCACTGCCTGCCCTCGGATGTCATAATGAGGTGTGGATCTCCGAGGTTGCCTCCCAAAAGGATTCGGCTGCTCTCCCGTAGTTAGAGGGCATTATCTGTGGAGGTGAGCGGGGCCGCGTCTGCCGAGATCACCGAACGCATCGTGTGCAAGGATGTGAAAAGGTCTCGGCAAATAACCCGTTTCAACATCTCTATCCTGCTCCGTTGATTGTGGCAGTGAATAATAGTAATAATTTTAAAAAAAAGCACATTTCTTTTAAATTGTGCTCTGCATGGTTCTTTGTAACTCTGTTGAGTTTGGGAGAGTTTTTAATGAATAAAGACAAACCTACAGAGACAAAGTGTGTTATTAGCGTGGAGTTATTATGGTGCGCGGGCGTGAAAGAAGTCAAGTTGCATAATGCATCAAGCAAATGTCAAATTTAATCGCCGGAGACTTTCATTTGCATCTGATTTCCATAGCAGCAGCTTCTTTTTTAGCGCGCTAACAATCTTCACCTAAACCTCGGCAAGACGTTCTAATCTGAACTAAAGGTCTCATAACCATATTAGCAAACAAATTATCCCCCATGGTGAAACAGCAACGCTAATCAAGGCATCGGCCGATTGTTAGTTCTGCTATTATGAATTCCAAGGCTTGTATTTATAGGTTTAATTGGAAGCAGCAGTTTGTCGTTATCGGGTTTGCAGTGAAACACGTTTAGCAGAGATTGCATGTTAAAATATTGGGTTCCCCAGAAAGGTACAGGGTTTTTTCCCCCCCCCAACATTTTTTGTTTTTACAATTAAAGGGTCCACAATATCGCAAGTTTCATGTTTATCTCAGTCTAAAGAGGCGTAAATACCTTAACAGAATTAAAAAGACTCCTTTATGCGTTTACGCTGAAATATTAAGAGTTTTTATGAATGATAACATATTTTAGCGAATCTTCTTTTAGTGCAGAATAATCCAGATGAGATCTGACCACTAATTATTGCAAATTTAAGGCAAAATAAATGCACATCTGAATTCATAAAAGCTGAAAGAAAGCTTTAAAGAATGGTAGCGTAGTTTGTGGCTAGCTCTTAGCTAATCACAGCATTTAGATTATTTTTAACAGAGTAATCAGAATAGTACAACACAAACTCTTTTCGCGTGGCAGTGTTTTTGCGGCGCCAACGCTTCTGTGACCAAGTGCTGTCAATTAGTTCAACACAAAGTCTATGTGCTGACTCTAAGAGTTAAGCAAACGCTTTCAGGGTTTCAGGAAAACATGCAACAAGTGGTAATGTTGGTGAATGCAGCGGCGACATGTTGCTGCCTCATTCCACTTTCTCTCAAATGAATCTCTTTCCTCAAAATGCCCCGTTATGACAGTATGCGGAAAAACCTTTGAGCGGTTTTGCAAATTTATAAAATATAAAATCAAGATACCACACTTATGCAAGTATTCAAAGACTTCACTTAACATTTTGTTGAGGCATAAAATTTAGTTTTCACAGATCATCGTAGAGATGTTTCTGTAAGTTTTCAGGAAGCAACCTGTGATGTATTGATTTGATTGGACTTGACTGGGAAGGACACACACATGTCTATATAAGGTCCAATAGTTGTCAGAGCAGGTGATGCGACTTTTGTTGTCTAGTTATAATAAATTGGCAAAAGCACTAAACGAATAGAGAATAGATTAATTTAATCAAACTTGGAAAAAGAGCGTAACATAAAATGTGGAACAACCAAAGAGCTTTGAATAATTTCAGAATATTCAGTACCTTCGTATTTCTGGTTCTGGTCCATTTAGTTTGGGTTTGTAGCAGATATGATATTCAGCTAAAGGGAAATTTGGCTACAGCTTCTATTTGCACCACAAAAAATATAAGGTAAAATCAAGCATACAGTTTCTTACTGACTTTACCAAAATGTCCGGATGACTCAAATATTTTGTGCTGCTTTAAACAACAAACATAGTCAATTGCATGCATTTCACCTTACTGAAATGATGGATGGATGGATGGATGGATGGATGGATGGATGGATGGATGCCATCAAGGTCACTCCACATTAATATTCTTTTCGAACTTTTCAGCAATTTCATGCCTCGCTCATTGAACATCCCTCATAGAATCCATTTCCACCTTCCCTCCAATCCATGGTTGTAAATCTTTTTCCTTTAACGTTGTCTCAATCTGTACGCCACAAAACGTAGATCAGGTAATATAGATTTTCCCACCTCAGCAATTTTTAACATTCACAATATGCATCGTATTGAACAAACTCGAATTCGACACACAGGGAGAGACGAGTCACACGGCCTCCATGCATGACCTCACCCTTCTCTCCGTCTGTGTTTTGATGCCAGTGATAATGCAGTACATTATTTCTGGCTGTTTCTAAAAAAATCTGGCAGCGGGTCAGAAGTTGTAATGACTGAGACACGGCCATCTGGTCGGGGCTGATATCATCCTAATGGAATCATTCGTGACCTTTATTGGCTTTCAGAAAGAGAGACAGATATTTTCGAATGCATCCACTGCAAACAAGAGGAGCAAAAATCTTCTCTGATCTGCGGTTTTTCTCGTCGGGTTTGTGCTGTCGGGGCTTGCACTGTGTCTTTTTGTTGTTTTTTTTAGTGCGCTGACATGTAACCGCATGTGATTCTTTGAGCCTGTTTCTTGTTTGTTTGAATGATCTTCGATCCATATTGTTCTGGTCCTTTTCAAAGTTCACATTCACGTTTTACACATTACTCTGTCTTTTCGTTCTTGCTTTAAGTATAAATATTTGACTTTTCGGGGACGGCCTCAAGCGCGCTGAGGCTTTCTTCTTTTTCTTGAGTGTTTAAAAAAAGCTCGAGTTCTCAAAAGCGATGGAAAATCACAAACATTTGAAATGGAAATATGAAATAAAAAAAACGGCCTGTATTCCCCTCGCGAAGAGTTACAGAAATGAGCAACGAGGGTGTTAAACTCCATTCGTCCGTCCCCAGTCTTCCACTTATCCCACACATCTCCCTCTGCAGCAGCTCTCTCTATCTCTAAGTTATATCAAAGTGTTTGCAGGCCAGAGGGACGTGTAATCCCTGTGGTGAGTTCTGAGTCTGACTTGGGGCATCTTGATCAGATCCTCAGCCGACTCCTGTAGAGGAGGAGCAGCAGCTCCACTTCAAGCTCCCACCAGAGGAAGAAACTCAGGACTTTTTACTTAACTTTGAGCCCAGCCC